TGCGTGTACGTGTCGCAAGATCTCTGTGTGAGATGGATGTCCGGACGCGTAGTCTAGCGGTTCCTCATCCGGAACCGGTCGCGTAGCCACGGCCTTATTTTTATTGGTGGCCAGGCGGGCCACCTACCCGACAGTTTCAGGTGGCCCGACGCCGTTTCAGGTGGCCATTGGCACCCGGGCCACCGTTAAAGTCGAGCCCTGCCGCACGTCCGCAGCGAAAATATCAAACATATTTGATCGCTGCGAATTTTGGTGCGGATGAAATTCGCAGCGAAATTCGCCCGCGCTTGAGCGGACACACCATGCGAATTTTGCTGCGATTTTACAATTGCGGACATGCGAATAAATTTGCATGGTGTGTTCCCCCGCTTTATCGACTTCACTCGACCGGTAATTACAGTTTTAAATTGACTACGTCACAAATTTTCTATGGTAAAATTTGTAAAATTTTTGTTGCCATTTTTTTACATTAAAAGTAAGAACTAACGGGACTAAACGTATCGTCAAATTCTTACCTGATAATATTGTTTCTCAACTAGTTAAAAATCCAAAAAACCTGGACGATTTGTGTTCCTAACATTAATTGCTTGCTATGGGCTATGTATGAGTCACGAGTGTATGTTCACATCGAACAATATAGTAAAATAAGAAGTATAAAATGCAGCAATTTAATCATAAAAAGTGAACAGAATTACTTTTATTTTGTGAAAAAGTGGAAATATTATTATTTTTTTAATTATTTACGGTGACGTAATCACTGTAACTTGTTCTCCTGGAATCCTGTGAGATGATGGAATCGTTGAATCGGCTAGAAGACGTCTCGTGCTTTGACTGCACTATTTTTGTCTTTCCCGCGTACGTAGCCTGTAGCGACGACCATGCTAAGTGTGCCGAGTGGGCGAAGGACGGCGAGTGTGAGGAGAACTCTCGCTACATGCACGAGAGCTGCAAGCGCAGTTGCAAGCTGTGCACCAAAGGTAGGTGGAGCGGTCCGTTGAGCAGCAGCGTTCCACGCGGCGTTGACCCGTCCTCGTGATTCCCTCGCGCTCGCTCGCAGCCGCAAATGAAATCGGTCTATGGCCGGCAGGGCGTCGTGAATAAACACGAGTCAGTATTTTCCTGTGAAAGTTTTCCTCAAGCAGCTGGCCTCTATCATCGAACACGAGTTAGATAACCAATCCCCGCTCTGGATGTTATTGCTAGGTCCATCAAGCTCACAACTTTTGCGCTAAATCTCTCGCGTCATACACGCTGTGTCGCACCTTGCAATGTTGCTCTGCGTCTTGCAACGTTGGATGGCGTCATGCAACGTTGGATGACGTCATGCAACGTTGCATGACGTCTTCGCAACTTTTCACAAAAAATAAGTGAATTCTGTTCACTTTTTATGTTAAATTGCTGCATTATACTTCTATATTTACTATATTGTTCTCGATGTGAACATACCACTCGTGTGACTCATACATAGCCTATAGCAAGCAATTAATGTTAGGAACACTAATATCAAATCGTCCAGGTTTTTTGGATTTTTAACTAGATGAGAAACAATCTTATCAGGTTAAGAATCTGACGATATGTTTAGTTCCATTTAGTTCTTACTGTTAATGTTCAAAAAAATTGCAACAAAAATTTGACAAATTTTACCATAGAAAATTCGTGACGTAGTCGATAACGGACACCTGTACGTCACTGCCGCAAATCGCACTCACCTGTGAGTCCCCACGGTGGGGCACTGACTCTGCAGCTTTCACGACGCCAGGCAAACATGAGGCGGAACAGCAGCCAGCGGACGAGCCACAGCGTGATCTTGTCGTCTGGTAACCGCGACCGCGTCGCCAGCGACGAACTTGACTGAGGTTGAAGGGCGCGGACAAGGATCGTAATGAGCCTGCCTCTAGCAGAAGAAATGTCCCTGCACACCAAGACGACGACGAACTCGTGGTTAAGTGCAGAGAAGAAAACCGGTAGAAGTAGATTGGCAATTTAAATATTTAAGAACTCCGAATCGGCATACGAAATCTTTGTGATTCAGCGATATGCATACACCCGACCGCGATCTAAAACGTCGACAGGCATAGCTTTGCTGTAAATGCGACAGAACTGCACAAGCGAAGAGCTTACCATTGAACCAACATGAATGTTTGTCCACCTACAAAAAATGCGAACATATAATTTAAGTGTGATGGCAAGTAGGCAAGTGGTAGTAAATTTCAAATGACCAAACAGGCAGCACACGTGCCGACTCTAAGATACAATCAGAAAGTCGTCACGCAAGGCAAACAAACGCCCTGCGCCACTTCGCGAGAAGTACTCAACGAAACTGTGTCTAAAGAAGCAACGTAAGAGTTTGGACTACGTGTTAGAGAGATGGCATGATTCTAAAACTGACAATCGTAGCACAATAAAATAGAAATGAGTCAGTTTCTTTTAGAACCACATAGAGGACTGCTCAGAAGTTCTGGAACGCCACCGACACCACAAGAAATACAATCGAGATACTAGAATCTATGCAGAGAGGACTTATTCCTCACACACACATGCACGCACGCAGCGCACACAACACACGCACGCACGCACGGCACACGCACGCGA